ATCCACTGCCGCTGCCGCTCCTGCGGTTTTCCCTTCAGCCGCGGGGCGAGCTCGGCCTTCAGCTCCGGGCCCAGCTCCTCCATCACCAGGTTGCTCAGGATCTGGGTCAGGGAGGCACCCGCCAAAGGGGAAGGAGGTTGGGGCACGTCCATCCCGCTGGCCTGTAAGCCCGGCCACTCAAGCCCACCTCCTCTGGGCCTGACCCTCTGCTCGGCTCGCCCCTGCTCCCTCCCGAGCTCCACTCCCACGGGCCCCACGCTCGTCGGACGCTCGTCGGCTTGGGCGTCCGGCAGGATCCTCAGCCCCAGAGTCCAACCCCAGGGCCTTTGGGCAGGCTGCCTCCCTGCCTGGAATCAGCTGCACTCCCCCCTCTGCCTGCTCACGGAAGTATGTGTCCAACGTTCGTTTCTCCGACTAGACAGAGCGCTCCCTGAGGGTAGCACTGTGCCCGTGTTGTTCCCAGCTGCACCCTGGCACCTCACTCAGGAAAGGTGCTCAGCAAATGATTGAACAAAATGACAAGTATCTCAGCTGGACACAGTGGCTCATACCTGTAATCCCAGCACTTTGGGAGGCCAAGGCGGGAAGACTGCTTGAGCCCAGGAGCTTGAGACCAGACTAGGCAACAAAGCGAGACCCTGTGTCCTTTAAATTAATTAACTTAAAGACAAGCCTGGGTGCAGTGGCTCACACCTGCAATCCTAGCACACCTTGAGAGGCCGAGGAGAGTGGGTTACTTGAGCCCAGGAGATCAAGACCAGCCGGGGCAACATAGCAAGACCTCATCCCTGCCAAAACAAAAAACAAAAAAACCAAGCAACCCCCTTGGGTCCCCTCCCACTATGGGAGCTTTTCCGTCCTCTCAATAAATCCTGATTTCAAAAATTAATTCATTAATTAATAATAAAAATGAGCCCGGCATGGTGGCACACAACTCTAGTCCCAGCTCTCCGGGAGTCTAAGGCCAAAGGGTCGCCTAAGCCCAGGAACCGAAGCTGTGATGCCAGGACGGCGCCACTGCACTCCCGCCCGGGCAACAGAGTGAGACCCGACTCAACTTAGTAAACAGAATGACAAGCATCTCCACTTGCTTCGGCCCACACTTGCCTAGGCCCACTGTCTCCTTCCAACAAGATGAGGCCAGAGCCCCAGCTCTGTCCCCGGCTGGGGCCCGCGACCTCTGAGGTCCCACCTGAGGTCCCCCCAGCAGCCCAGCAGGCTCACCTGCACCTCATTCCCACACAGCATGTCCCAGGTGCCGTACAGCTCCTTGGACTGGCGGTACATGCGGATGGCGTCTGTGAAGGCAGGGCCCTCCACCTTGGAGTCCTCGGGGATGCCTGCTCAGAGACGGAGGGAGAGGCGCAGTCGGCTGGACGCCCAGTGGCCACTCCCAGGGCCAAGCGACCGAGGGACCGGACACCCCGCACCCGGCCCGCACCCGAGCGGCCATGGCTGCCGTGACAATAAGAGCCATGACAACCCCACACCAGCAGCAAGGCGGCCCCCGCTGCCTCCTCCTCACCTCCCTACCCTCCAACCCCCCAAGACCTGAGCCTGTCACGAGCCCGACCTGACAGAGATGACCCAGAGGTCAGGCCACCAGCCAAGGGCACACGGGCCGTGAGGAGCAGAGTCAGGCCTGGAAACTCCCACTCCCATGAGTGGCCACCCTGAAGGGCTCAAGAGGTGCCCAGAGCCGGACTCGGTGGCTCAGCCTGTAATCCTGCACCTTTAGGGAGGCTGAGGTGAGTGGATTGCCTGAGCCCGCGGGTTCGAGACCCACCTGGGCAATTTGGTGAGACA